TATAACACCAGCTACTTGCCAGAGTCCAAGTGTCTGGTGTGCGATCGTCAGCATGTGGTGCTCTCAGAAGAGGACTAGTTAGGAAGCAAGGCCTAGTGGAAGGAAGTTACAGCTTTGGGGATGCAGCTGGAATGAGACCGCACGATGCCAGGCTCCTTCCTTTCCTGCCCAACTACCATGAGGTGTGCAGCTTTGTACCAACGTGTCCTCCATCATCTTCTGTCTTAAACAGTGGAGTCGACTGACCAGGGAAAACTCCTAAGCCACAGATACATCTTATCTTTACATCGATTCTTCTCACTGTAATTCTGTCACCATGAGAAAAGCTGACTAAAATTGTACATTATAAAAATGCAGATGTTACCAAAGGAAGAACAACACCAAAAAAGCCCAGTATAGCTTTCTCTTCCTCACACAGGTTTTTATTGGGACATAAAAGAAAACCTACATAAATAAAAAGGCAGGCCACATTTATAGATTGGATTCTCAATACTATAGAAGGATGTAGGTGGGCCTTCTATCTATGTGTTACTTTCACTGGTTAATAAAGAGACTGCCTTGGCCTTTTGATAGGGCAGAAAATTAGATGGGTGGAGTAGACAGAACAGAATGCTGGGAAGAAGGGAAGTGAGTCAGACACCATGGAGCCAGCTGCCAGGTCAGACATGCTGAATCTTTCCTGGTAAGCCACCACCTCGTGGTGCTACACAGATTATTAGAAATGGGTTAAGCAATGAGAGTTAGCCAAGAAGAGGCTAGATACAATGGGTCTGGCAGTGTTTAAATGAATACAGTTTCCGTGTAATTATTCTGGGGCTAAGCTAGCCATGGAGGAGCCGGGCAGGACGAAAAGCAGGCCTGCCTGCAGCTCCTTCTACAATAGAAAAGACAAGGTCCTCCAAATTGGCCAACTGGTGCTATGTTTTGTTTTATTTTATTAGGATCTGAGGGGCTGGGTTTCAGATCTATGAAGGAGTCTAAAGGACAGAAGCAATCAGTAGTGTCAGAGAAGACCAGATGAACATAATTTTGCACTGTAAGGAACAGGGTTGGTGTTGCATGGCCACCCTGCAGGCTGGCTCCAGTGGAAGACCTGACAGCACCATCTCTAGGTGAAGTGTGAGGCACAGGCAGGCTATGCAATGAGATAAGCGGTCTGCAAAGACAACAACATCCACTCAAGCACACACCTCCCCTCAATCCTTTCACACAGGTGCCAAAGGGAAACTGCTGCCCAAGAGTCCAGCACCTGAAACCTCCCTACCCTGTCAACAGGCAAAAGTCAGTGTATTCCAAGAAGAGCTTCAAAATATGCATGCCCATGCTAAGCACTAAGCCCAAAAGCCCCATCTCCTATATAGTTTCACATATTTTAAACAAAGAAAATTAAAATTTTTAAGGTGGATACTTGGGGCTAAAACTTGGCAGAAAATTAAGAATGTGTTTCACATGAAAATGAAGATTAGTGACTAGTGCTTGGTGAGGGGGAAGCCATGGTGAGGGACAGAAAGGGCTCTAGGATGCCAGCCACTTGATGTAGCCGGAACTGCTTGACCCGAGGACATGACTACAGGGTACCGGCCTCATAAGAATGCTTTTGACTCTGTATGTATACTTCATCCCACTTCCTATGTATCATACTTCACAGTGCAAGAAAGCTTTTAAAGATTTCTTTTTATTTTGCATGTATAAATATTATGCTTGCATGAACGTGTGTGCACCTAGTACCTGCAGAAGCCAGAAAAGGCATCAGATCCTACAGAGCAGAAAGTGCTCCTTAGCTGCTATCCAGTTTCTTAATGCAAGAAGTTTTAAAGAAGATTTTTAAAGAGATTTTTAGTAGAAAATAAAACAAAACAAAACAAACAAACAAACAGAACCCCACTGGCAATCTAAAAAAAAAAATCAAAGAAGTATGCTACAGAATTCAGACCTATGATCTGACAGATCTGAGAGCCTGTCAATCAAGATCATTTTACAAAACAAATGTTAAAATCAGCAGGCATGACAGCTTTGAATCTGTGAGGCTGAGGCAGGACAATCACCATGAATTGGAGGGTTTCAGAAGAAGAAAAAATAAAGTGAATGTCATGAGAGGTAAAGAAAGGGTGAGACACTTGGGATAAATGGGCGCCACAGGAGTACAAAGTTGAAAGAGAACACACAGTGCTGAGCTAACTCCTGGACAGGAAAAGCAATACCAAGGCATTATTGGGAGAGTTCGTGCCGTTTTACTAATGTCTGTATACTAGATTGACAGTGTTAGCTGGGCAGGGGGGCATCCTCTCATCAGCACTTAGGAGGCAGAATGAGATGGTTCTCCAAGCATAAGAGGTCAGCCCACTCTACACAGCGACTGCCAGGCTTGCCAGAGCTACACAGTGAAAAAAATGAAATTTATGACCTGGCAACGCTGAAGCATGCATGGGCAGTCCGTAGATGGCAGTTCTGTTGAACTGGTACATTTTGTGCTTCATGTCTAAGTTGATGAAGACAACTGACCAGGTCTCTTCCTCAAGATCTCATTACAGATGGTTGCGAGCCACCATGTGGTTGTTGGGAATTGAACTCAGGACCTTTAGAAGAGCAGGCGGTGCTCTTAACTGCAGAGCCATCTCTCCAGCTCCCTACACAGTGAAACCCTATCTCAAAAAAAAAAAAAAAAAAAAAAAACCTAAAATAACTAGGTGACAAACAGTATTGTATCAGCTGCATTTCCCATGCATGATAATCACACTGTGTGATTACAGGAGTGGCAAAGAGTTGGGTCTGTGTTCTTAGGAAACTGCAATTGAAGCAAGGGATGGCAAAGGCAAGGTCTCCAGGCTACTCATAGGGTCAGAGAGAAGCATACAAACTTGAGGAGACAGAGGTCCTGAAGGGGACAGGGCAAAGTGCTGACAATGTGACAGCGAGGAACTAAAGTTGAGGGCACACGAGAACTCTCACTGCTACTCCTGAGGCTCCCCCCCTTCTCTCCCTCCATCCCTCCCCTGTGTGTGTTTAATTTAAAAACCATCTTTTAATGAACCATAAACACAAGCTTTCCACTTAAAATGTAAAGTAAGGAAAGAGAAAACAGAAACTCATTTTCACAAACATCAGCGCCATACATAGAGAACCAGGAGACTCCACAGAAAGCAGGTAAGTTAGAATTAGTATCAACAAAGAAAACAAAGCTTAAAGCCTATTTCATTCTCATATGGCAGCGGCAGCTAGAAAGGTCACGGAATGGTGCTACTACAAGGTGTACAACTGCAATGCTGTGCTTGGGAGAGAGGCAGGAAAAGCCCATGTTCAAGGCCTTCCAGGCTGCAAAGCAAGTTTGTCTCAAAAAGGTTTATAAAGAAGACCAAACCCAAACACCTAGAATTAAACCTGACAAGAGGCAGGACTCTCCAACAGAAAAATTATGCTCTTTGGCTCCACAGTTGTATTAGTGTGTGTGCACAGATACATGTGTGTGTTGTGTGTGTATGTGTGTTGCACACACACGTGGACACATATAAAGAGAAAGTAAAGAAAAACTTAAAACGCAAATAGAAGGAAGGTCTGGAAGAACCACACTCTTCAGGGCCTGACTGGTGGGTGGAAGCTGCCAACAGGAGCGCTACAGGCTGCTTAGTTGTCCTACTTCTAGGGACTGCTGAGCCCCTGCAGAGCGTGTGTGGGAATGAGACAGCGAGACCAGCCCAAGTACTCTGGAAGAGTGGTGTGGCGTGTCTCGCTGTGTCATGTCAGGCCTTTGATGATCTAGTTAGGACACTGTAGGGTAGTAACAGGTACCAGATTCATGCGGACATGTGACTGAAGAAAATGGTATCACAAGACACAGAGAAGACAGTGCTTCACCCACACACTGTCCAGATAACAGCCACGACTCCAGGTCGACTGGAAACACAAATGCGAAATATAAAACTTGGGAGGACACCAGCAGAGAACAGCTATGGTTCCACAACAGGCAAACATTTCTGTTGTTGTTTCCTGAGACAAGTTCTCAAAAGTAGTCCAAACTATCCTTGGACTTGACACTGTTGTGCCTCAGTCTCAAGTACTGAGATGAAACGTGAGCCACCACATCTACTGCAAACAACGTGTTTACACGACACAAAAGCGCTAACCAGGAAAGATAAAGCAAGCAAGCTGTGAACCACATGAAGATGAAGAATGAGGACCACATTTCCCTGCTTCTAAAATGGGAGGACACTGGGCTCTCCCCGCTCTATGACCTGCAATGTAAGGTGGGGCTCGTGCTTGACCCAGAACGTCATCCTAGAACAATCAAGCGGATAGTGAGGACAGATTGAGACGGCCCTTGGCTCTCTTGAGAGTAGTACAGTCAGGGAAGATGAGAAGATAAAAAATGACAGAAGGAGAGGACCAGTATACCAGATAAAAATTCTGGGACAAAGGTATTCCTGAACAGGTGGGCACAGAGGATGGGAAGTAATAAGGCTAAGGGCAGAGGCAATGGATAAACAGGAAGGACGGGGTGAAGCTGTGCAGGTTCCTGGGTAGTTTGGACAGGGTTAGTTCCTGCTATCTTCAAGAAACCAAACCAAGGTCATCACCGAAAGCAACAAAGAATGGTCCAGGTCAGCGTTACTATGGCATGTGAGTAGAGAAAGGCAGGATGGGGTGACAAGGAACTTGGAAGTGCACAGTCCAGCAATTGTGTGCTACACTCTACTGTACACAAGGGACAGAATGCCCTCTGGACCATTTCCTCCTTTGCTTAGCTGGCAGATAATAACAAGAGCAACGAGCAAGGATGGAGCTGCAGCTCAGTGAGAAGGAGCCGGAGCAGCACACACAGGGCTCTAGATTGGATCCCCAGCTCTACCAAAATAACAAGAAGCCAAGTGAGAAAGCCTAGTAAGACAGGATTCTGCAGAGATAGAATCAAGGTCTCCTGGAAACAGCAGTAGCCCACCCTACCCATGAGTCCCCCGGAGCCTGCCACAGCAGCAGAAGGCTGGCAGTGTGAGGATGCTGCTTACCGGCTGAAGACATTCTCGCTGAACGCGTGCTTTTCCAAGCGAGTGAGCAGGGGCAGGTTATCATGGCCAGGGATGTCCAAAAAAGCCGTGACCCTCCCGTTGTCACAGTCTGGACCACAATCTTCAAATCCATCTAGATAGGGAGAGGAAACACTCTAAAACTGCATCTGTAGGTGCCGCCAACAGTAATGGGTCAGTCACACTGAGGCAGACATGCCCTGTGACTGGGCCGTCCAGTGCAAGCTCCTGGAAGCCATCCACACTGGAACCAACAGCTATGGAACTACAAAAGAAGGGTGGCAGGGACCAGAGTCACAGAGAAAACTGGTTTTTATCAACAACTATGGTAACCACTCATCTCTGTGGAGAATATGTACCTCTCCTCCAAAATGCTGAAAATGGTCAGCTAAGAAACATTTTTCACCCTGAAGACAAGCATCCAACATCAGGTTCCCCTCACACCATGTCTGCCTAAGGCCTTGGTGAGCAGTCCCACCCATCCACACCCTGGCCTAGCAACACTCAAGAAGGCCCCTCCCTCCAGTTCCCTTAGCTAAAAACTGCACTAAGGGAGCTGAGTTCGGGAATCCTGGGGCCAATGGCCCTGGAACAGAAGGAATCCCATGACTCCCTACGTAGCTATGTAACCAGAGGACATCATTGAGCCTCTCTGCACTTCTCATCCTCAAGTAAACCTACCTTGTGCCATCAGGATGGCAGCACATGAGTTTTCGCACAAAAAGAGCTGTGAGATCTGCCCCAAGCCCTGTGACCTGGCCAACTCTGACCACAGGTCCCCATCCTTTGATCTGTGATGACCAATGACTGGCTCTCTTGTCTCCAAGACCTTCGGCAGACACTGTCTCTCATCTCCTTTGTCCTGGGCTTTTTGGTCATGGTTAGTGTGCAGCATCTCTAGAAGGCCTCCCGTGCCCACCATGTCCCGTGTCAAAGGTTCCAGTGGTGCCAACCTGGCTGACCTGCTCCAGTTCAGTTCTCTGCACAATGCAGTGAGGTCTTCAGCAACAGATACTCTCTACACACTCACTCCCAGTTTTCCATGCCCAGCACAAAGCCTGCGCCTGGGGCGCAGTAGACAGTTTGGTTCTTAACCACATGATGAGCAAATTCATGCTAAAGCTATGTATCTCTCTAAGGAAACTTTAAACCACCAAATTAACATAATCTTTCCATAAAATCTTTCTATAAAACACACACTAAAGACTTATCACTAAGAGACTATTCTAGAACAGTGATAGTAAGAAGAGCTCTTAGGTAGTCATAAAAATAAAAATAAATTTAATTTAGGGGTTGGGGAAATGGCTTACTCAGTAAAGTGCTTGCCGTCCAAGCATGAGGACCGGAGTTCAATCCCCAGGACCCATTAAAAAGCTAGGCATGATGGAGTACACTGTAATCTCAATGATAAGGAAACAAAGACAGGTAAATCCCTAGGGCACAATGGCTAACCAGTGTTGTGGAATATTATTATAACTATGTTAAGACGTGTTACATTTGTTTATATTGCACTTGTTTAATTAGGCAAAGATGTGTTATGTTTGTTTATGCTGCATTTATTTAAGGATGCAAAAAGGTTATTCTTTGCCTGCCTAAGGCAGCTGATTGGTCTAGTAAAAAGCTGAACAGCCAATAGCTAGGCAGTAGAGGTGGGGTTGGCGGGCTGAGAGAATAAACAGAAGGAGGAATCTAGGCTCAAGAGAAGGGAGGAGAGATCCAGGAAGTAGAGTGGAGAATGAGGGAGAAAGAAAGGAAATACTGGGGGGAGGGGGGGCAGCCAGGCAGTCATCATCCAACCAGACATGGAAGAAGCAGCAAAGTAGGACATACAGAAAGAAAGAAAGGTAAAAAGCCCTGAGGCAAAACAGAGATGAAGAGAAACAAGTTAAATTACATTATAAGAGCTAGTGAGAAAAGCATAAGATAAGGCCTAGCATTCATAACTAATAATAAGTCTCCGTGTCATAATTTGGGAGCTGGTTGGTGGTCCAAATGAAAGCCTGCTACAAATCAGTCTATGCTACTTAGCGAGTACAAGGCCAGTGAGGGATCATGTCTCAAAAAACAAGGTGAGCAGCTACTGAGGAATGACACCCAAGGCAGACCTCTGGGCTCCACTGATGCGTACATGCACACGCGCGTGCAAACACACACACACAAATAGCTTTTGTCTCTTAAGCACCTGTGATGGACAGAGATAGAGAAGAAGTCCTAGTAGGCATGACTCAAGTCTTTACTTTGCCTTGGAGACAGGGCATTTGTCACTGGATCCAGTCAGGGAACTCAGGGGCACTGCATGCATCCCAGCCTTTTAGGTGCTGGGGATTCCAGCTCGGGGCCCTTACGCTTGGGTACTATAGTGATCGAGCTCCCTCTCTAGCCCTTCTTGGTCTTTAAATTTTTTCTTTTGAGAATTTCATATTGATATACAAAAATATGACATCTATCCAATTTTCCTCCTTCAACTTCACTTATATACCTCTAACATGCCCTTCTACTAACTTCTTATCTTTTTAATTTTTTTTTTGATAACCCTCGAAGTCCAACTGGTAACTATCAGTATGTGAATGGATGGAGGGCCAACCCTGGAGCATGGGAAACCTACTAATGGTCAACATATCCAGAAGAAAGATGACTCATCCCCAGGAATTACTCACTGCCAGTAACTTCCCAAAAGGAGAGCATCTACCTCATGTCTGGGATGCTGTCTGGCTTGGTCTGCCTCCTCTTTTTTCCTCTGTTTTCCAAGTCTTAGTGGAGGTGATAAGGACCCACCGTTCAGCATTCCTCCTTGCCATTGTTTCAGAGATAGGAGTTTATCAGGCACGCACCTGGCTTGTCCCCGCCAGCAGCGGGCTCACACACAGCTGCGCTCACAGTCATCTCTGCTCTCGCCACTTGTCCTCCTCACTTAGGGAAGCACTGCACAAACAAATGACACAGGACCACCAGAAAGACGTATGTACCTGCACACGAGCTCGTGTTCCTCAGAGGGTCCATAGTGGTGAACTAGTAGAGCCCTGCGACAGCTGACTTTTCCTATAGGCAGCCATCTTGTCTCATTCCTGCTGAAGAAAAGGGTAAGGCAGGAAAGAAAGGACCTGGATTTGAAATCCAATTATCAAGAGGGCTCTCACTGTTTCAAAGAGAGCCCATAGGTTTGTGTACAACGAAGAGAAAAAGACACAGCAAAGCCCTTCTGCCCCCCCAATCCCCTGCTGAACCTTTTTATTTTGACCAAAAAGAATAAAGATGAAGAAACAAGCAGCCGAGGCCTCCCAGAGGCTAGTTTTGGCAAGAGACTTGCCTCCCTGGCCAGTTCTGGGAAGATCAATGGCACCTGCTCTAGAGGTGCCGATGCCCCCTGCTGTACTGAGCACTGAAAATTAGATATCTGTACCAGTTACACTACAGGTGTGAAGAGGCAGAAGAGTCCCACCTGGCGGACAGGAAGCCATGGTCAATTTAGGAATAATTGATAAGAGTTTAAAATAGAGATAGCAAGCTGTTGCCTAGGTGCTCACTATTCTCTGAAATTCTGGGCACAATTTTCTCAATTCTTTTAGTTATAAATGAGAGTTATTAAAAATTCAAACTGGCTAAGGGGATCTTACTAAAGGACGCTGTGTGCATGTGGAAATGCTGAATGTAGACATGCTGGGTGTCTTTCTCAGTTGCTCTCCATCTTATTCTTTGAGGCAGGTCTCTTGCTTAAATTGGAATTCACTGATACAGCTGAAAGAGCTGGGCAGTGAGGCCCGGGGATCTTCTGTTTCTGCCGACAAGGCTCTGGGATGACAGGCTTTTATGTGGGTGAGGGGGATCAGATTCAAGTCCTCATGCTTGCTGAACAAGCTTAGTTCATCTCCCCAGGCCTAGTTAGTATACATTAGCTTTATAAGTGTGTATGTGTGTGTGTGTGTGTGTGTGTGTGTGTGTGTGTGAGAGAGAGAGAGAGAGAGAGAGAGAGAGAGAGAGAGAGAGAGAGAGAGAGAGANAGAGAGAGAGAGAGAGAGAGAGAGAGAGAGAGAGAGAGAGAGAGATACAGACAGACAAAGCTGAATAGTCCTGCAGGGGTCACGACCAAGTACTTGATCATGACCATAGTACTTGATGTGCATATCCAAGACCCTGCCAGGGTCCAGAAACTGTAGCCCTCAGTCTACAGGAGTGAGAGCTTCTGCGGATCCTGGCAGAGAACAAAGAGCTCGTTCCTAAGCTCTGGGGCTTACTCACGGCTTTGGAATTCACAGAGACCGACCTGCAGACACAAGGAGAACCTCACAAGCAAGAGTGGAGGCTTTCACGGGCCCTTGGGACCTACCCTATGCTTCATGGACAGAGAACTTGCTGTCTTAAAGCTCTGCAAGAAACACTTTCTTCAGAGAACTAAAGACCTTGGCAATTAGTCCACAGAAGAGCTGTTACTGCAGAATACTAATGATCCTACTACAGAGACATATAAAACAAAGGAATAAAAGCTATAGGTCATACGGTATTGAATAATTAACCTTTACTGGTTACCTCCAACAATCCAGGAACTAACCACACAAACTTTGTTGTATAGTTTAAAATGTTTTGATGTTTATATTAATTTTTTTTTAAATTTCAGACTATGTACTGCGATCATATTTGCCTCCTTCTCCATCCTCCCCACTACCTATCCAATTCATATTTTCTCTGCCTGCCCGCCTGCCTTTAAACTCAGAGTCCAGTTTGTACTGGGTGACCACTCCTGGGAACGGGGTTGGTTATATTATACCAGTGAAAAAACAGTCTTTTCCTCTCCAAGAAGCAATTCCATGCCAAGGGTTCCTCAGCTAAAGTGTGACGTCACAATCCCCTCCCTTGCTCCGTTCTGGTATTCTGTCAGGCTTGAGCTTCTGCTACCTTGTTGAGTTCCTATGTGCAGTTGTCCTGCTGTGTACGGAACCATTCTCTATCTTTCCAATTTCCAGGGAGATCCAGAGCCCTGAGGGGAGGGGTGTGACGGAGGGAGCCGTTCCTTTAGGTTTGGGCATTCCTGAGTCTCTTACTCCCTGCACCTTGACCTTGTGGGTCTCTGTGGGAGGGATGAATGAGGCACTGATCTAGGGTGCAGCAATATATCATTAG